CTAGAAGCACGTAAGCATATATCGCATTTTTTTGGGGTATATTTTGCTGTTCGTTTTATTAAACTTTTGGAATTTTGCCCTGTTTTATGCATAAATAATCACATTTATGTAGTTTAGATTTGTATGATCAATTTTCTTCCAGTCGCTACACTCTGCTCCGGTTCGTCAAGAAGCGTCTTCGTCTCAGGAACTTACTGAAAAAGTTTAAGCTGACTGAGATCAATAACAGCTCCACCCATATAATCATCGGTGGCCCATCGGTCGTAATCGTATACATCCACTTGAATGGGCATGGTCGGATCATCAATGAGAAGTGTGAATTCTTCTTCCCAAACTGGGTTCAAACTCTTGTGCACCACCGAGCTTTTGAAATATGTCCGATTTTTGTACTTGAACTTGACATACGGATCGCTGGTTCCTGGCAAAAAATTTATTTCAAATACCGGGAATATTAAGATAGCCTGGACAATCAGCGTGAGCATCCCGTGTGGGTAATGTCACTGGAATGTTTTCACACGCATGTTTCAAATAGCCATTAGTAATTCAGCAGACACTTGTGCGTCAAACGCTGGTGTTTAGAGCAAATCCTTTTTCTGTATTCCTAAAAATCAATCAGAGTGTAATACGTGCTCATCACGCTAATTTTGCCTCACTTGCAAGACTTCGAAATAATTCGAGACATCAAACAAAATAAGGGGCCAGGGAAGAAGCTATAATTACAGAAAATGTGGTGCACCTGAACTATCCCGAATTACCAGGTTGCGCCCTTCTTTTAAGCGTATGCGCACCGAAAAAGTTATGTAGGCTTCCGGTGTTGGATCCTCCATAGCACTGCCATTTGTCTGTTCGCTAGTGACCTGAAAATGTAGGAACTTAAAAAGATATTAGTGATTTTTAGGTTATTTCGAAACAAGAAAGAATTAGCCTTCTATCCAGTAGCAAAATTACCGGCATCGTCAAGGTAATCAGTATGGGTATCCTGTGTTAGTAATGCTGATAGAATGTCACCATATACCAGGCTCAGCTGTGCTCCTTCCTTCGATCAAAACTAAACTGCGCAGCTTCTGTTGGTACTCGTAGGTGAATGTCACCTCTAGAGAACGCTAGAGTGGTCGTCTACTTTCTCACGGTTACCACTATAGGTTTTGAGTAAGCTAAAACTTTTTTCAAAAT